TACTTCGCTTGTTGGAATCAGATTACAAAATGACGGTTTTAAGCACTAATCATTGTAATGTTAAGAACCTATGTTCTACCTTAAAGTAACTTATGTAATGAACAAAACAGGCAAATTCAAATTGTTTAATTACACCAAATTTTAATCTTGATAATCATTAATAGGTTTTTTATTACTCTATGTAGGTAATATTTATTAGTTGATGTTTAGTACATAATTGAACTAGTTTCGATCGTCTTTTAGATAAAATAATTATTTTGCACTGTGTGCTGAGGTTGTTGATGGTAGGTAAAGTCCATAAAAACGACACCCATTTTTTGTATTTGCACTAATTTGTGACTAAGACGAGTCGAGCTTGAATTCTAATTTAGTTTTACTTTACGAGTCACTGTGTTGCATTAGACCGCGTTGACGTTTGCATAACGTGACCATACGTCCCGCTTTGGGCGGGACTGTCCCGCTTTCAGACTGTCTGTCCCGCTGTCCCCCGCAAGAGCAAAAACGTCCCGCTTTAGCTTTAAGATTGCTACTATCGTTTTTAAATGTAACAACAGCGCGGGCGCGAATCGTGCGGCGGCGTTTGCACTTATTTCTAACTTTGTGACAGATGAAAAGATCTCTGGTTGGAATGCCGAGAATATTTCTACTGAAAACCGTTGGCTCGAATTATTCCAGCACTTTCGTACCAACACTCTTGATGTAACAAACTTTTCCATATGTGTCTGCCAGGAAGTAACGCACCAGTCGAAAGAGTTTTTTCTCAAATGAAAAAAATGTGGACGAGTGATAAAACCCAGCTAAGTGTAGCAGTAATGAAAGCTATGTTGATTACGAAAATAAATATAAATAAATCATGCAGTGAGCTCCATAGTTGTCTAAAAACAAGATACGATATTCTAAAACAAATTTCAATCTTCTATAAACTTGTAAAACTCCCAAAACTTTGTTTTATTTTATAATTCCGCAGGTTTTTTTTAGAACTATTCCTCAGTTGTCCCGCTCTGGCACAGAAAATAAATGGTCACGTTACATTTGCATCAACTTGAAACTCATAAGCTACATGGATGTAAAAAAATCCAGAGTTTAATAAATTGGGGAAAATAAAAAGTAGGGTACGAAGAGATGGGTACCTACCTAAGTACTACCTAAATGAAAAATGGACGCTAAACATTCCTGTTTATGTCATGAAACTGTCTTGATATTTAAACAAGCAAGTTAGTGTTTTACATTATTAATCTGTATGAATAGAAATACATAGGTAATTTTATAATAAAAGGTCACCTTTAAGGACTTACACAGATCACACCTAATCTCTCTCGAAGACAAACCTCAGACACAAAATATCCTCAGAGTTCAGACTCACATAATTAATAGGTAAGTAAGTAACATTCTACTTATGTGTTCTATCTAGATATATTTGACTTTTTTGCAATGTTTTCTATCAACTTGATGCTTTACGCAATTGATAAACCAAGTTTTTTTCAAAAACTTCTTAGTCTTTTTGTTTTTGTTAAACTGTTTAAATATTATCAACTGAATAGTGTTTATAATTATCTAGTGTAACGCGATATGTAACAGCTCAAAATTTTATTTCGTGACATAAATTATGATTTTCTAGAAATTAGGTAAATTGGATCCATATGTCAACACTGGCAACACACACTGCTCGAAGACTTTCGTCTTGAGACACTGCGGTATTTCGGACATGAGTATATGGCGAAGCTTCCCTAACGCTGCCCATCCGAGTTGGATTCGACGATTGACCTCTTTCTCGAAGTTGGACCTACCTAACTGGACTGTTTGTCCCAGGTATACATAATTGTCGACAACTTCGAGTGTAGAGTCTCCAACCTTCAGAGGAGTGGGTGCAACACGGACATTAGACATGATTTTTGTCTTGTCCATGTTCATTCTGAGGCCCACCTATTGAGAGGCTCTACTGAGGCCATCGAGCATTGTGCCTAGATCCTCCAAGGTCTCAGCCATGACTACGATATCGTCCGCGAATCGAAGGTGGGTGATGTATTCGCCGTTGATATTTATGCCAAATCCGTTCCAGTCCAGAAGCCGTTGGGGCAGGAAAGTTCTCGAGTGGCGACCACGGGCTGGAAAACGTAGCGTGGGCAGGCCTCCTACTAGGTGGACCGACGATCTGGTAAAGGTCGCGGGAAGAGCCTGGATGCGGGCAGCGCAGGACCGTTCATTGTGGAAAACCTTGGGGGAGGCCTTTGTCCAGCAGTGGACGTCATTTGGCTGAAACGAGGTAGGTAAATTGACTTTAAAACGATATTTTTGTATTGTGTGTTATTATTACTAATTAGGTACATGTTAGGATCTCGGGGTACCAAAAATGATTTTTGAAAAGATACTTATCCGAACAAAATTTCAACAATCATACTAAACTTAACTGGCAGCCATATCACATTACGGCCTTAGACATTTGCTAATATAAAGTAGATACCTACTACTAAACTTTCTTCAAATTATTTTGGCCATGATATACCTTTATGGTATAATAAACACATCTTAAGATAGAATGTAGGTATTCTTAATAATCACTATACCAAACATACACTAAAATACACATGAAACGTTGTCAGTCTTAAGATCCGTCTATTATTACCGAATTATTACTTATTTAAATCTATTTACATTAGGTAATAACTTGGCTTCAGGACACATAATATTAAAACTAAGTAAGGTCAATCTATACTCGTCTAACACTACATTTTAACTATTTTGGTCGTCAATAAAGCTATAGACAATAGTAGGTTTAATATAACAATATCGATAAAAATTTCAAATAAAATACAAAAGTACTTATTTAAGTAGAGTAAACAATATAATTGATTCTATATTGATACATGTAAATCTTTAGACTAGGAAACAAGATAGACTATTAAAAGTTTATAAGATAGTATGTATTGTAAAACTTCTTGACTAAGTATGTTCGTAAATATTTTTAATAATAAATCTAAAACTTGTTAGAATCAACAATTTAATAGTATTTAAAGTTATCTACGAAAGAAAGTTTAGTTAATTTTTAGATAATTTTACTACTTTCAGTGTCTACAAAGTTTAAAGAATATTTATAAATGAAATCCAGGACTATAATATAACTAAACAATATATCTAACTTTAACGACCACACAAAGAGTAGAGTCTCTCTACTATGGGCAGATTTTAAGGGCTGAATTTCGAATTAACGATAAAATGGATCTTAATACGTCGTAACCCGTGGTCTTAACTATAATTTTCTTTACATTAATTAATTAATTGCATTCTATAGCATGTTTAATAACTAACTAAACTTAAAATTCAATAGGTCGGTTTTTTGCAATCGAGTAAGTAAAACCACAGAATAATAATAAGTAAAACGATTAAAAATGTCTTGTAGGCTTAGATTAATAAAACCTTTATTAATCTAAGCTTGTAGGCAGAAATGACTTGCATAGACTTAAGTGTAACACTCAGTTTAAATACTTTGTGTAGTCGTTTAAATTGTAGAGAGGAATTACTGCAAAGTTAAATTCAAGAAGCAATGCTCTTACAAATCCATTTATAAATAGACATAAAGTGCATAGGCACAGCGGACAGCACATAAAACTAAAAGATGCCACCTTTTTAATGTTGTTGAAGATGTTAAGTATTTCGAGACAAAAATGAATCGTCTGATGTATTTTCGACTGTATTCTATAATTATTAAGGTATTATTATTATAATATGAAATTCGTAGCAGGTAACACTTTCACAATAATGTAGGTAAATATTAAAGCTTGGGACACAAGATTCAATACACGTACACTTAATTGGTCTTAACTATGTTTATGTATATTATTGCTATAGGTAATACGATTTGGGGGAAAATATACCTATTTATTCAAACTACACTAACTGAAAGTCAAGGCTCTATTATTTTGGGTATTTGATTGTATATTTAGACTTCTGAATAATGTTCATTTATTATGATTTAATATCGTCGATAATAATCGATAAATTACTGGGCTGACTGCAAAACCGTTCCAATGAATATCGCAATCGTTAACGCATCATTAAGTTGAAGTATTTAGGTTTATGGTCGGGAATTTTTAAATAACCTAACGATATGAAAATTATTTATTTAGGTATAGTCTTATTAGCTGACAGGGATTAGAAATCGTGCTGCCCTAATTAAAAAAATCGACCAGTGATAACTTATTTCTGGACTAAACGAACTTTTTTTTAAAATGAGAACTGGGTTACAGAAAAGTAAGTAATTAGTGTGGGACATAGCTATTTTAGCTTGGATTGCTAACAGCAAGCAAAGTTTTAGTTTTTGCAGAAGTACAGGAAAATCACTCAATAAAACGTAGGTAGGTATACCTATAACTTTAAACACTTTTAGTCCAACGAATTCGGAGTCGGACTGCCATGTCGTTTCGAGTTTCGCAGTTAGATTCGATAGCTGAACTATCCTGGAATTAAACATAGTTAAATTATGTTGAGCTTAGTTGGAAGGGTTAAAGAGAAATGGGAAAAGTTAAAAAACTCGGACCGGTTGGTGTGATAGGATACCATATTAGCAATTAAGTACCTTACTTATAGATCGTTTCATCCACGAAGACGCGCCCCACCAATTTTTAGTCGAGGGAAGTACGGGGTGTAGGGAGTTTGATTCGAGCAATCTGAGCGTCATTATTGTAGTGTGCGTGTGCACTTATGGATAATTTAGCGTGTAATAACACTCAAACATTAGCGGAAGAATGGTGGGGCGCGTCTTCGTGGATAAAAGGATCTATAGGTGTGATAGTACCAAGTAAAGTAACATATTAGTAAAAGAAAGGTAGGTAAAGCCCTGTCCGTGAGCACGTAGAATTTTGTCCAATGACCCCTAGCTATCCATCCTTATCGCTCGCGCGCAATTATAATATTGCTGTGCGACTAGCACCCGCAGTGAGTGTGCGAGCGCGATAGCAACATAATTACGCGCGAGCGATAAGTATGAGTAGCTTGGGGTCATTGAACAAAATTCTACGTGCTCACGGACCAGACTATAGTAGTAAAAGGGCGATATGACTTTATAGGTCCTGGCTGGAGCAGTTGTGCGCGTCAAGCGCGCGAGGCGGCACGTCTTCGAAGGGCAGCACGTGCGCTGTTGCCAGCTCGCGCGAGACGCGCTCGGCCGCCGTGAGCACGCGCAGCAGATTCAGCCCCGCCAGCTTGCGCAGCTCCTCTATGCTCCAGCCGTCTTCCATCAGCTCCGCGAACAGTAGCGGGTATGATGACACGTCTTCTAGGCCTTGCGGTGTGCTGGTAGATGAGAATTACCCATGTTAGTGGTAATACAAAGTTCGATAAAATGAATTTATTTAGACGATTAAAAAAACCCATGACTGGTCCGCATGCAAAATAGAGAGCCATGATTGCTACGAGAGCGATGTTTTAAATGCGTTACGAGTACTACGTGGTTATGCTACGAGTCTTTCGTAGCCAGAACTTCTGCTTAAGTAAATAGGTAAAGCATCTACATTTTATTGTGATCAATATAGGTATTATTTTGTTGGTTGGTTAATTGGTGGATTGTAAGTTACGGTTAATACCGGTGAGTGCTACGAAACTACGAGCTAAAGTTAAAATCCAAATGACACTACTTTATCCGTGCCTTGTCCTATTTTTACTAATCACTCTACCTGTCATGGTAGCTGAACATACTTAGAAGCTGGATATGATGATTTATTTCCAATGAAGGTTAGAAAAATAGTGTTGAAATATCGGCTACGAGTGCTACGAGTACAACAACGATTGCTACGAATCTCTCGCAGATTCGTAGTAATCTACTACTCACTAGTTTATTCCATCGTAGCCCGCGCCTAGCCCCACGCTGTCCACGCCCGCGACGTCACGGATGTGGTTTATATGAGCTGTAATAATGCAGGGGAAAAATTACAACCGTATTTTAAAGTGATTTTCATATGTATTTTAATAGTTATTTTAGAAGTTCCTATCTATACTAATACACGCACTTGGCCGGTTTTTTTTTGTTTGATTCTTTTCTTTTCGGTGGATTTAGTATTCAGTTGTTAACGACGGGCCACTTACATTTCCTATTTCAGTTACTCTCAGGACAAATGCAATAAAAAATCAATTATTATGAAAATAATATTGAATGATTGTCTAAATATTAGGAACAAAGAGAATCTAAAATGCACACGGGGCCGCGGGGGTGGGGTATCACCACATCACTATCAGGGTATTTCGCCAAAAATGGTCAATTTTGCCTAATTTCCTTGGCACGAATTTTATTTTTGTTTTTAACCATTTTTAGTTTCCCATTGCATTAAGTAGTAAAAACTAAGCTAATATATCTAGAAGGGGTGTCATAATTCGTTTTAGAAACAAAGTTATGAGGTCATAAATTTTTGGTAGCCAAGGAAATTATTATAAATATTTATTTCTTTAGGTTTTCTTCTGTGGTTTGCTTTTTTTTTGTTCGACCCATTTTTGTGTACTTTCGCAAGCAAACATGCCTATGAATATTATATCATTACAACCTTTTTACACGACTAAGGAAGATAAACGCAGTAGATTAAGTTAAAAGTTAAAAACAAGTTTTTCTACATCTATTCTGATACCTATTTCTTAAAATGTAAATTTAAAACTTATTCCAATAAAGAAATACTANAGGTGTAGTTTTCGATTTCGTTCACCGGATCAAAGGCCGAGCTGCATATTCATAAAATATAAGAAAAAAATATTTTCACGTTTATTTAACCTGATTTTTATATTTTAAAAGTATTCAAACATTTAGATAATAACGTTAAAACATTTAAAAATAATCGTATGAGAACGTTTTCGACTTCTCCACGGACGAAGTCGCGGGCAAAAGCTATTTGTAAAATAATTAGACTAAATTAATAAAAGTGCCTACCCAAAGTCATTATTCCACGCGGACGAAGTCGCGGGCACAGCTAGTGTATATATAGTTTCACAGTTTTAAAGTTCTAATGTTTATACTAAGTTATCAAGATAGCTTAAAATTGGCTGGGTTTGTGTAATCACAACTTTTAAATGTGTCAATCAAAATTCATCCTTAAAATATTCCATTAGGAAATGGTGAGAAAAATTACTTCACTTTATCCGACTTATGTTTATTTTACGCGAGGGCTGCCGTGTTTGGAAGTCAATTTCGCTGTTGCAGATTTTAAACACGTACCTAACTGAATATTTGGATTCTGATTATAATTTAAAATTAGATGGGAGCTTAGAATAAAAATGGACAATATTTTTTCTTACAACTTTATTTTATTACTAGCTGACCCGGCGAACTTCGTACCGCCTTAGCGTAGAGATTTTCTTAATATTTTTTTCCGTAAGAACCATCCTTGGACTTCCACAAACATTTAAAAAAAAGAATTATCGAAATCGGTTCAGCCGTTCACACGTGATGCCGTGACAACGCGAAACGGGTTTCATTTTTATATATATAGATAGTATTGACTATTGTGTGTGTAAGAGTATTTGTTGTAAGTTGACTTCACAATCGAAGACCTTAGGCAGCGAGTATCAATTACCTACTTTTATAAAAGGATTCTTTCTAAGAATTTTGGAGGTCAAATAAATACCTAGAAAGTTTTAGTAAATCAATACAAGCTGCTATAGAGTAGGTAGGTGTTTGTAGGTTAATCTTTTAACTTCACAGCTTGCGGCGACGCTACTTTCGATGATCAATATAAAACGAGAGCGGCCGACGAGCAAGATTTCAGATTATAGCTTAATACTGAAACTTAACAGCGCAGCGGAAACTTTGTTCTAAATTTATACGTGGCCGCATAAAACAGCATTGCGTTTTATAAAGACTTTTCTCATCGAATAAATTATGAAGTAGGCTTTATATTTGCTTTAAAATGATCCCGTCCCCGCTTCATTGGCAATTCAGTAATAAAATTCACATTTCAAATTATCATTTCACTTTGAAATAAACGATAATAGCTCACCGACGAGGGGTTAACGGAATTATTAGTAATTTTTAATATTATGGATTGTAACTAATATTATTTATTTAAAAAATACTCAGGAACAGATTTCAAGGCGAAAGTGAATAAGCACTTACAGGGCAGATATTTACCATCCTAGACTGTATCTCACTTAGATAACACCAGGTGCGATTGCGGCCAAATATGCCTTGTTATACATAAACATTTTTTTGAGTGACTCACCAATCGCGTCTTGCACAGTCGCTGTATCCCTGCAGGTCAAGAATGACGTGTAGAAGTTGACCATGATGAGGCCCTTATTAGCGGCTAGCAGACGCAGCACCGCGTCGGGCACGTTTCGTGTGACGTTGCACAGCGCGCGCGCAGACGAGTGCGAGAAAAGCACCGGCGCGCGTGACACCGCTAGCGCGTCGCGCATCGTGCGCTCTGACACGTGCGAGAGGTCCACCAGCATGCCTATGCGGTTCATCTCTTTGACCACCACCTGAGAAAATTTATCCGTTTTATTATTAAAAAAAATTAAGGATGTCCTTATAGTGGAGTGGAATCACCAAGATAGAATAGAACATTCTCAAGATTGTTTAAACGAGAGTTAACAACCTGGTAATATCGCATCGGTGTTTCCTCTCGAAAACGATGTCGGCTTTTTAAAAAGTAGCGAATAATTTTCTTAAATAAAAAGAAAATCTTCTAATTATTACCATCAGATGACACATGTTTACTAATCGTAGTTGCACGTAAGAATATACAGGGTGATTTTGTAATCAGTGTCCAAATTTTTAGGAGCGACTCAGAATCAATAACTCAATTGTGAATCGTGAAGAAAACAAAATTTTTTAGCCGACTGCGCCAGAAGGAGGGTTATTTTCATATTTAATTATTTTTATCCGTAGCGCGCGGTTTCAAAATGGGCACAAGGGGATAATTTGCTTTGTTCCTAGAAAAATACGTACACACAAGTAACTGCAAAGCTCAATAGAAATAATGGTGCGCAAAAAAAAGCATTAACCTTTAAAAATTAAGATATAGGCACCGATATTAGATTTTTAATATATTTTTTTGCGAAAAATACCACGATTAAAAAATAATTAAGATAAAGTTGTATTGTTAAATTGTTCTATAGAGCATATTAAAAAAATTAGATACTGATTGCAAAGTCACTCTGTATTCCTAAATAAAGAAAAAATACGGTAACAGTCTGATGCGGGTGCGAGCAGTTCGACTTAAAAGCCTAAGGCATTACTGCGAACGCTAAAACGTTAATCCTAAGTCATTGGGTTTTGTTTTTTAAATAGTAGGCTGAAAAGGGGACAAGAGTGCGTACTCCTGAACCGTAAAAAGCTCTTAAATGTATCCCTCATGTCCGGCGGGGAAGCTGCTTATCTTGTGTTACGCAAGGGCTAAGCCGGGCCTGCGTCATACGTCCGCCGTCCGTCATAAGGATCACCTTTGATTGCCTCTTCGGTAGATTACTTACTTTGTTTTCTTTCTGGACTAGCCTTTCTTATTGTAAAAAAAATATTAAGGGCATACCACCCGTGCCCAATACCTTTCTGTTTACTCTACTTATCTACACTAATATTATAAAGAGGAAAACTTTGTTTGTTTGTTTGGTTGTAATGAATAGGCTCAAAAACTACTGGACCGTTTTTGTTGATGAGCACCTTCATGCTGTATAACGTAGAGCTGGCTAGCTGGAACCGCTATGATAGAACTGTCATTTATATTCAAATGTGATGTTGTCTTTAGTTGTGTAATGGCTGTGCCGAACTCTCTATTGTAAATATTCTACGTGTGCTTTGATACCAATATATTTATTATGTTACTACCAACCACTGTGTTTATTGCTCTGTAGCGGACTTAATATATCCCTAACAAGGGTTATGGGCCCAGAANTCATTTAATAATTTTATCAACATGATGATAGTCCGATTTACAATCTGTTTGTTAGACAGTTGAACTATCTTGACTCTGAGGATCTGTCAGGTGAAATAATGTAGCAGGTCACTCTATATGTATAACTTTGTTGGTATATTTGTCACCGGTAAGGATAATCTGCAGTTTGCAATCTCACTTGCAATGGCATATAATTTCCTGCTTCGCAGGGCGTCTTAAGCCGGCCTCGATACGATTGTGCTATGTAGGCACCTATGGCAATGGCAGCTTTTAAAGCTGGACAATAGGGTCATAACCATAGTTACTTACAACCTACACCGTAAAATAAAATGGGAGTGACATAATCATAGGCAAGGTCAGTTGGTTTATACGTAAACTTCGAAGAAGAGCCACAGTAGCAACCCACTTTTTGGTCGTATACGAATATTTTAAGGCTTGTTTGAGAAAATTTAGCAGCACTTATCGTGAAGGTGCGTTAAAAGTAAGTTCCGGCTAATATTACTTGACACCAGCCGTTAATTAGCTACCTAAATAGTTAGGTACCTTACACCTGTAGGGATGGTGTAAGGTTTGAAATTACCATTTTAATAACCTTCATCAAGTTTCACAGTTAGGTAAATCTTTGAAGTATCGTGTGAAAACATGACGTTGTATCTTTTTTAAAAATAATCTTCACTTTATAATGAAAAAAAATCTCGATGAATAGAATTTAAAAGTAATTTTATTTCAAAAGTAGCTTCTACCCGCAGGATTACCTGCGTGTATTTTAATATTAATCAACCTTATATCTAACTAGAATAATGCTCTTCAAATAGTTTAAATCTTTTTTAAAACAGTTTAGGTATGACGAATCTGGGGATTATACACTACATAAACAAACTTACAAAACCCGTTTCCGCTCTCATTTCACATCTAAAAAAACTCCCGCAATAGGCCCACTAAGATTTGCAAGCCTCAACTTTCCTCAGATTACCAAAAGATAATATAGGGGGACAAGGATTTGCGGCGGCGGATAGCGTATAATGCTTGTGTACTCGCAAACATAAATAAAAGTACACCCTCCCTTTCAAAGGCACCGAGTGAATCGCAGAAATGAACGCCAAGTGCGGCCCGGCCAGCTGTTTGAATATTTATTATAAAGTGGTCCCCTATTGTTCTTGCCTCATTCAGACATAAGGATAACTTTGACTTGCTCAAATTAATTGCTAACTTCCCGGAATCTTTTATTACGTGTGAACCAGAGACGTCGATTAAACCTCCGCAGAGACAAGTTATAATGACAATCTGCTAAGGCCGTAAGATTCTTACTTTATTATTTATCCTGTTGTTCAGTGTTCTTGATATTTTGTTGAGCAACATTGCAAGTAACTTACATAAGTGGTGCTTACGTAGCCGTACGTACGTTACACGGAGTGAGTGGTTTTAACAAAAGAAAATATTTCGAAAAGTATCGTTGCAGGAAACAAAGAAGTGCTTCGCGAGCCGAGAGTTCATACAAAGCGAAATATTGCGGTGCGCCAGGATGTTTATGATTATGGCACACTCAGTCTACTCCACGTCTCAATCTTTACGGTTTCGTGTTCGCTACCTGCTTCGACGTACGTTTGGAATAAGTAGTCTGCAAGTCATAATAATAGCAAATCGTTAAATAGAGTGCAAGTAAGGCTTTAGCATAGGTAGTGTACATGTAGAGCGCGATAGTTTTATGGATCTTAAAAATGTGGAGCAAGCTTTAAATATTTACAGAAGATATATAAAAATTTAATTAAGCTTCATAATACTATCTTGACTGAGCTTAGTGAATTAACTCTTAGTTACCATAACGAATGACAGTATAGGTTTTATTTTTGCAGGTACCCACCCATCTCTTAGAAGGTAGTTAAATAATTATAAAAAAAGATACTTTATCATAACGGAATAACTTATTATGAATAAGTTACTGTTGCCCTTGTTGCAGCACCATAAGACAAATTAATCCAGTTCCTAACGAGCCACCTTTATATCTGTGAAACAGATTACAACTTCCCTAATCCGATAAGCTATGAGAAAGAATTAAGAAGAGATAACTCACAGTTTAAGTTCAATAAGTTTAAAACTTCTTTTTACTTTTAATTAATTCTTTATCTTGACAGTTAATAGATGGATTATCGTAGCTGGAATAATATTGGAATTCGGTATGTAATGCTTTTTCTTGAATGAAAAGTTTATTTTGGTCAATTATTTTGATTATAAGCGATAAATACAGTAAGCTTAATTAAGTTTTGTAATATTATAATATTGAACATCATGTAAAGTCATCAAGTAGTCTATAAACTATGTTTTTTTTTGTGACAGGAGGTATACGAGTATATTAAGACTAACTAAAACTTACGCCACATTAAAACGTAAAATATATTGTGTAATTAAATTAAGTTAAAAACACTGAACATCAGTGTTTAAATAGAAAAATAGGGTACCTAATTAGCTATGTAAATTTTCCACTGTTACGGTAGGTACGGGTTTGGCATCACTTAACTTGAACTTTACATACCAAATTGGGTTCCAACTACACTATGTTTTAATGTTACACACAAAAATAAAGTATGAATTGACTTGTAGCCAGTGCCGTATTATCCATAAGGCACTTTAGGCCAGTGCCTAGGGGCCCACTATGACCAGGGGCCCAGCAGTCCCGATTAAAAATGAAAAAAAAAAAAAAAAACAATATGTTAAAGATTATTTTTATGCAAAAAATCTCAAACCACCTCCAAACTTCGCCTTATTTTGGTTTACACATTCAATCGTTATATTTCGATATTGTGGAACTTAATTCATATTCGTAACGTTTAGGCCAGTAGAATTAGATTTTAAATCGGAAATAATTCCTACAAAAGATTTTATTGTTTTAATGGCTTCATTTAAATTGTTGCCCATTAATACTATTCTAGGTTTTCGACGTCGGCAGAGTTATGCTTAAGTGGTGGGGCCCCGCGAAAGGGCCATTTTTGCGGTTTTACTGTTATACCGTGTAAAGGACTTATTGCACTGAAAGCTGATCTTTATGACGGTTGAAGGACATTCAATGCTGCATTGAATAAGACAAAATTCATATGTTTTGGACAAACCGTTCTTGTATAAATAAAGGAATGTTTTCTTTGTGTAAAATTTTCTATCTACAGTATTAAGAGTACTTTCCCTCCAGGTGGCATTTCAAAATTCCACCCTGTATATCCTATAGCCTTCCTCAATTAACGAGGTATCCCACATAAAAATAATTATTTAAATCAAACCAGTAGTTTCTGTGATTAGCGCGTTGTTGTTGATTTTTGGAGTCGAGCCATGGACCAGCTGTAAGACTTGGCAACGCAGTCATGCAGGAGGGTGCAAGGAAGAGGGGCAGCCACAGTAGATAACACAGAGTCGTTTAAGAGAGTGCAAGGAAGAGGTGCAGCAACCGTAGTAAAGGAACGACTGGGATGAATAAGGATAGACGAATCCAACTCGCGAGGCTTAACAGGAATATGCTGGTTAAGGTGGTCCTTTTTAAGGCTTTGGAGATTGCGGGTGACGAGCCATTGGACGTAGAGAGCGTCATTAATTAATTATAAGTACTCGTATATTTTCTACTTTGTCGAAGATAAGCACAAGAACGGTTTGTCCAAAACATATGAATTTGGTCTTATTCAATGCAGTATTGAATGTCCTTCAACCGTCATAAAGATCAGCTTTCGATGCAATAAGTCCTTTACGCGGTATAACAGTACAACCGCAAAAATGGCCCTTTCGGGGGGGGGCCACCACTAAAGCATAACTCCGTCGAAGTCGAAAACCAAGGATAATCTTAAAGAGCAACAAATGAAGCCATTAGAACAATAAAACCTTTTGTAAGAATTATTTCATGTCTTACTCTACATGCCTAGTTGACATTACTGTTTAGGTTTACATGACTAATTAGTTACGTACATTTTTATTTTTAATGTTTGTTAGTTTTTTTTTTAAATTTGCAAGATTTTCCTGTTCTTTGTTTCATTTTTAAATGACTCCGATACTTCGTCTTGTAGATTGTGGCGAAAGTCTTTTCACTTGAAGGAAGGCGTATACCTTTTCAATGTGATGACTGAAGTCAGTTGTTGATGATGATAATGACCTTCATTCTATTTCGTAATGTAGACAGTAAAAATTTCCAAATAGCGTTTTTGTGGTATGAAAAAGGGGGGCCCCGAAACAAACTGTGCCTAGGGGCCCCGAGATGGTTAATCCGGCCCTGCTTGTAGCTTTCGGTTTTTATTGGTATAGAGGCGATTTGTTCTCGATGAGGAGGGCAAACACTAGAACGGAACGAGTGTTTGTAGAGTCCTTCCAACCAGCACCCAACTAAGGGTAGTTTTTTCACGACTATTATATTGACACAGGTGAAAGGCAAACTAGGTTTATATTTCAGAACGTTGACGATAGCCGGGGTGAAAAGCAAAATATTTTAAATTAAAGCTGTTTACAGCAAAAATAGATTTTGTGAACTCTACTTTTGGTAATGTTTTGTTTAATTTCCTAAACTGTTCTAAACAGTTAGGTATGACGTCAACGTTAAAATAAATTGTTGCAGAGGAGGAAAACATGCTCCCGATCCCATATGCCCTGGGAAAAGGACAGGCAAAATGATGATGATGAATATATTATTTATGATTCTATGTCAAAACGTCCCTTGAATATAAAGTTTCTGTTTCGTATGTTTTTCTATTTTACTGCTAGAAACGCGTTGTAAATCATTGATTGGGAAAAAATGGTAGAGCAGCAGATTTAAAAAAAAAAACAATTAGTCATATTAAAATGTGCAACCCATTTGTTGATTGTAAAATGCTAGCAGAATTTGGGTAGTTTTGAATAGAGACATTTTTGTAAGCCTGTCATAGTGTACTCAATATACCTACTCGTAATTCCTTGTTAGGTATGTCTGTATGGTTTTTATATCTCATTCGGTCATATTTATGAAAAAATGGGTAACATAAATAAAAGAAAATAAATTGTTTACCTTTCCAAAGTGCGTGAGGCCACCGCGCGGCGATGGCTCTGGGCGGTCGGCAGAGGCGCACTCGGCCCAAGGGGTGTCGCACGTAGAAGTGAGGGTCAGGTACCGGACCCCCACTTGGTAAAGCGTCCGCAGGACTCCCAGCGAGCCGCCGATGGCGTGGCCCCCCTCCACGCCCACCAAAGAACACAGCCTATGGTTGGCATGGGCAGTTAGTATATCTGGAACCGGACTAGATCTCTTACTATCACGAGAAAATCGGTCGACCGCTCAGTTAATTGAAATTATATTATAAATCACAATATTGTTCGAGCTTAGTTAAGAGTGTGGTGGAATATGTCTATTGTAATAATTAATCAAAAGTTAATTAATTATTTTGACCTCAGTACCACAATGAATGCGGGCCCTGTAATTAGTTCCCTAACGTAAGCAACTTAAAATGAATGGATGTGTATTTAATTTTAAAGGGCCTAATAAATTGGCACATTAGGTAGGTTTATAGATACTAAGTCGGATGAGCTATCGTTTTATGTAGAGCTGAGTAACCAACAACGTTTCACGTAGGATTAGTGCGGGATTTTGATGAGATTACCAGATGACAGCTCGTGATAATGTTTTGTGTGAACATTGTTATAGGTACGTGATGTGTTCACTCATAGAGAACCTCTTGTATGTATGTAATTGTATGTGCCTGTATATAGGCCAATCAAATGGATCTTCTATGTTTATGTAACATGAAGACGTGTTTAACAACTCAGGAGCACCCAAAGAACCACTTGCAAAAATGAGCCTTCTATACCAAAGTGGAGGGGTTCTTGCACTAAATTCCCTAGTACAACGCCATGTGAAGGGTTAAGCAATACCACAGAAAGACAATAAAATAAGAAGAAATTCATGGTTTCAGGAAGTACTCGCAATAACAGAAGCTAAATAAAATTAATTCATCACTTGCCTTTTAAAATTAAATGTAGCCTATGGGGAATAATCCATTATTTACGGCAGAGTTAATTACATTTTGCAAAAACGAATTAGAAATTTAAATTAATATTAACCATTTAGATTTTTACGTAAGAAACTCAGGGCAACGAGTTTTTCATGCAAATAGCATTGAAGAACACTTTTGTACCCACTGTTTGCAGATTACGAAAAACAAAATATCTGCCTAACTGTGCCGTTATAATTTATTACCCTTCACAAAATGCTAATTTATTTTGGGAAAACATCCGTTATTTTCTTTTTTCTAAGATCATTAAGGAAACAATCTATCTAAGGTTGACCATTTCAAAAAATTGTAACATTGTCTTAAATTAACATTAAACTCATAGATCCTACTCGGGCGGTGAGTGGCACAAGGCCGCGTTAACAATTAATTTATATTTTGTCCCGCGTTATTACGTAAAATTAAATATATTTCTCGTAATTTCAAGTATACATTATTGACAGGCTATTTTATAGTTATCACTCTAATTGAGCCTGAAAAATCATAATAGGAAAATAATGAGTTACACTCGTAGTTCTTAAACTTTTGTTAGTGATTGCTTTTGAACACAGATCTCAGATTGAATAGGTACCTCTATGTATCCAGACCAGAATAAATATATTTTGATTTTCATGTCAAAGTCACTAAAATTAATTTTAAACTAATACTCGTATGTGCAAGCTGTTTTGTAAATAAAGATATTATTGCGTGGTTTAATGAGTAGTATTGACAATAGTAGACGATGCAATAATATAAAGGCACACAAGTTGTAGTGATTGTAAGACAGCTCATCTAAACATTAAAGGAAGTAGGTAGGTTGGTATTTTTGTCATAAAATATTGAGTTACGTCAATCTTCTCTCGCCGCCGAGGAGAACCGTTTGACACCTCATTTGTCAAAAGCAGCCAAGCCATTTATGTTTGCAACTCTAGGGAGGCGAAGTTACATGCGTATACGACTTATAAACTACGTAACGTTACATACGAGCGGGAAAACAACCGTTTGTAGAAACTTTACGAATTTATTTACCTTTCTACGTTTGTTATTTGTCTTGTACTGCGAGTATTTTTACGTGAACAAGGACTACAATTCACTTTGACTGTACAAATATACAGAATGAAAAGCGTGTTTACTTAATATAGTTGACTATAATAACAATGCTCCGGGTAAATAAGGTTTCGGATTCCATTTACTTAGCTCTGAAAATAAGATAAACACTATCTACGTTTATTCGTACTATCATAAATCTGTTTGCAATTTCCTTGTCTCTATACGTGTATAAACTGAAGAGTAGTACGTAAATCAACATGAATGAGTTGAAGTAGGAATAGAGATGTAAATTGACTATATCTGACCGGTCACGATGGTCAAATACCATAAATGACCGGTAAAAAACGGTCAAATTCAATCAATTTAACTCAATATTACTGTACTACCACCGAATAATTTATTTATTTAGGTACCCAATTTATATACAATTTTAAATGAAGGAACGTTAATTTGTAATAAATTAAGAGAGAATAAGACGTCATCAAAGTTGACTGTCAGTCAAATTCAGCCGCTTTAGTCATTTTCAACACTAGGTAGGAAGCGTGCGAGCTCACCATCCGCGGAGGTGCAGAGAGTGAGCTGCGGGTGGTACTTGTCGGTGAGGCGCTGGATGAGGTCTATCTGCTCGAAGGTGAGCTGCACGGCGTCGCGATGCTGCGCGTCGCACGGCACGTACGCCGCCCAGAACTGTTGCCGACATGACACAACTGATTAAATATCACGCACGACTCCGCACCGCCGCTCGCTGAATATCAAATCCACGCAGCGGGAACATTGACAAAGGTTATAAAGGAAACTACGAACGCTACCGCATCCCCGAAAGAATTTCAGCGGGTACGATATTATGATTAGATTAGGGAAGGACGGTGACCCGCAGATTTCCGTTTAACCTATCCCCGGAATTGAGACAATGCTATTGAATGGTTCAATCACATTCCATTCGACCCTCGAATAAAATGTAATTTTCTACGTGCAGTTTTACTTTTCTATATTACAGAGATGTGGGTGCAGTCAGCGCAGGAACTACATTATACACGTGTCGAAAACAAGAGTTCACGTTCGGCGATTTTGTTAAAAATGATTGCTTTTCTACTCGTAGCTACGGCCGCAGACGGCCTAGGTTCCGCTGAAAGCTAAATGGTTTCTGAAAATATATGCATACGATGTTCAGAATCCAGCTATAACATATTGGTTCCCGCGCTATGTATGTATGCATTGTGTTACCTGAGAATATAGATAAATAATGGTTGGCAACTTTACAAAAAATTATCGTTGCAAAAAAGAATTTATTTTGTATGAATACCAAAAGATAACACGATGTTGACTACATAAAGAAGCAAAGTAAAACAAATATGTATAAGGTACAAAACCTGGATGTTAGCACACACATAATATTCAACTTTTTAATGAAATGAAGACCTTTTCTAAAATAAGGGCACGTTTTAAATTAGAGATGTTAAATGGGCCTAACAAAGAGCAAATAAAGCAGCGGTGGGTGACAAGTTGGGCCACTAAAGTTGCGGCAGGCAGGGTTATATTAGTGCCAGGTAAAGCCCGAATAATTTCGCGCATTTTTCAGACTTTGTACTTTGCTCACTATCCTTTGTTCTACCGCTATTACGGTATTATCTAGCCACATACGTTTATAATTTACATATTTAATTACGGCTTAATTTAAATGTCAAATGAATATATTGTAGAGTTCCTAGTTCAAATAATACTACGAATTGGTTAGGGTAACTTATGAGCAATGTTTTGTTATTTTTCCAGGTTTTTTCATGTTACAATTTTCTTTTAAGTAAACAGGGCTGGGAGCCTGGGACATGCAAACTATGACGACCGGCGTAAATCGAATATGCATCGAATTAATGATGGTGCATATTATAATTAATCTAAAGTTAAGCTTACCTGTGCCGCTATCCTTCCTTGTTTTAGCCGTGGTAAGTCAGTGTGTGACCACGAGCTTGTGGCCCACGGTGATATCGTCCGCAGGTCTTCGTCAAACCTGTCAAAATTACGATCACTTCAAATACTTATTAAATATATTTCATAGACCTTTTCGAAATACAGATACTTACTATCTAGGATTAGATAACCAAGCAATATACAAAGCCCAAACAAACAAAGAACATATGTCGATCGAACCCCTGACCGTTGGCTTTGTAATCCAAAGCTCGAACCAGTACTTAACCAGTACCTCTAGCATAACTTTCGTCTTCGAATCGTTTGCGTATTCGATAAAATCGGATACTCAGTCTTCGAATTAAACGATAACGTGACAATTTTGATTCTCAAAATTAGTTTCGTGCAACCACATCTCATACTAAGTTCAATTTACGACACGTTCACAAAGGCGCTGTTGTAGTTTTCTTACTAAATCTTTTGATGGCGATTCGAGTACGCAAAAGATTTGAACTCGAAAGTTTTTCGTGCTAGCCGTACTAAACTGGACTTGACCACTAAGAACAATATATTTTACTCAAACTTCGAACATCACATTTCGAACGATTCCATATTCGAGAATCCTCTCTCGTTTGGAATCTGATTCACGCTGCTATAATATGTGAGTGTACAGGAGCAGAAAAACATTCATTGTGAAAAACGTGAACTTTTAAGCCAATGAAAAAAGAGTTTTACTTCGTTAAATAATATCGGAAAATTTTCAATAAATTTTTAAAACCTATTTTATTCGCACTCGAAGTATTAATTTAAAAAAATTCACGAATTTTGCAAATAAAAGCTGATGTTCTTGTTACTGTACAAGCTTTAAATGATTTTGGCTATCTAAAAACGCAAATATGCAAAAAATATGAAATAGCTTTTGGATATTTTTAATCAATGTTCTTTAATTGTTTAATAGTCATATTTTTTCTCATTTAAAAGGATGATATAAGAGGTCTATATTATAGGTATAAAATAAGATAACGTGTCGTGTTTTTTATTTAAACCTTTCTTACATAGCTGGGAAGATTGTTGATATAAGATACTTTAGTAACTCGTTCATAAAAGTAAAATGTCACCCCCATTTTTGATATAACAAAGAAATGAGTTGCTCTTTATTTTCTTGCGGACCTTCGTAGATTCGTTTCGTAATTCATATTTTAATATTTAATTGAATAAATTAAATACAGGGTCGAGAAAAGTTTTTCCCACGTGATCCATGCCATTTTTTGCTATGGTGACCGAAATCGCCCTGAAAAGAATAAATAACGATCACACGTCGGCTAGCTTGCTTGTTTGGGTATATTCACTTGTGTATACTGGCCCGTAAGATACCCTGGGCTTTTGGGATTTACAGTAACGTTATATCCCTGTCAATGTGAGGTTTCAGATAATGTGTTTTTAGATTTTTTATTATAAGAAGTGTGTTATGGCGGTCATTGATTCAAGTAATTTTCACTCAGACTACATGGAATATTGTGTATCAAATAAAGGTATCAACGCCCGTGCCTTTCAGTTTTGGTAAGCGGTCTTCTTTCTAGGTAAATAAAAAAAATCATAAGAGCTGTATTAAGTGCAATTATTAATAGTTTAAAGAAAAGAAAATCTTACCTAAAATCTTTTATCCTATTGTGCAAGAACTTCCTTATGTTCCAGGGTAGATCGTTGTGTCCGTCGACCAGGGGCGTGTCGTGCAGCAGGCGCTCTGCCAGCCGGAGTCTTTCGTGTAGTGGGGCCCCCGGCGGGGCCCGTAGTGCCAGGGGGCCCGCCACGCATGCAGTACCTGCTACCAACACCAGCACCGCCACGCAGCACCAACGCCGGTGCCACACTGAGAAGCCTGTGTTGACAAAGGCAAAAGGCTGATAATGAAAAACACTTAGGCTGAGTTGCACCACCTAACTTTGACCGTAGCTATAATGATGCGTCCAGACTGGGCGAATTTGCTCGCGCGGCACGCTGGTCATCCTGCTCACTCTGCTCTTGAATGAGCAGGATGTTGAGTTTGCCGCGCGAGCAAATTCGCCCAGTCTGGACGCACCACAACGATAACCGGTGTTTTTTGTATGGAGTTTGACAGATTTTTGTCGTTTTTTAAAGTTAAAGTTAGATGGTGCAACCCAGCCTTAGGCCTCAGCCTTACAAGTACAATGAAATTACACACTGTAGAATTTTATGCAGCTGTAAAAGGTGCTAGTTCGCTTTGGTAAGTTTTGAGTACAACATTAAAATTAAGCTCATGAGGTGCTAAAGACATTACAGATATGACATACCGAATTTATGATATTGTCGAAATCTTATTTCATCTCCGTACAATTTTTTTCTAATATTTCGAAATATGTATTTGTAATCCCGCTTGTCTGTTTTTTAAATCTATTAATAAACTGAAAAAGACATTAATTTAACATTAGCTTTTATTTTTAAAAGCAGTTAGTGAGTTTTTGTTTTTATTCTGACCACAACTGTTATTTTTAAAACATAACAAACAGAGAGTAAAATGTTATTCATATTTAAAGTCTTTATTAAGTACGCCTGATGCGTGCGCGATAAATCCAACAGCCCGTTTTATTCGTCATATGAAGCTGTAGTAATAAACGTGGGGAATAAAAAATAAAAACATAGCTGAACATATTCGCTGCCATTTACTGGATGTAACATTAAAATCAATTTAGGTCAAGCAATCGGTCGTTACGAGGATGTTACGGGCTGCGGTAATCTCGCTGTCAAACGCAAACTTGCTCGATCACCGCAGTAGATACGGTGGATTACATGTTTGAAAATTTCGATCTACAATGGGCCATTCTGATAAAAGTAAATTGAAGATTGTACGTGGCAACATTTAAACATCAAATATTTTTAAATATCAAGATGTGGTCGATGAACAGAAAAAAATGCATTTTTTGTTGTTTTATGCGGTTGACGGCACATTAAAGTAAACATTGTGCGATCTTATGTAAAAATATAGCGAAATATGTTTTCCAATTAAATGCAGCAAGTCAATGTACTGAACGCCATGAAAAATATAAGCAAAAATTACAAATAGGTACAAATAGAAAATATGAAATTTTTAAAATAAGGTTAGCATAACGATGAAAATAAATAAATAATACAACAGCAGCAATTCAACCAAAATAGCCCATATGTGCACGGGTGGCAAGCGCAGATGCATAAATTATTCTTGTCAGATTTTTGTGGAGCATTGCATATTAGTTCACTTTACGTATAAATTATCTCTGTTCTGTGATATTGTCGACTACGAGAACTTGAAATACATATTACGGACATAAAGTTACGCGTTTACTTTTTTAATGTGATTTATACGGTATGTTAAGCTAATAGGATATAACCTACATGATATTTGAATAAAGTATTTTAATAAGTTTTTCAAACAAGTAATACCTTCTCGTATATGTATTTTTTGTGTTTTTCGTAGTCAGTCGCGCTTGCTACGTGTTTGCTACGAATTTTTTGTCGTAGCACCACACGCAGCGTTAGTTTTGCTACGGTATGTTTTGTGCCCCTAAAGTTATGCTATAGCGTTTGTAATTTATGCTACGGGCTACGGGTTAAGATTGGTAACTGCCCACGTGACCGTTTTTTAGATTTATTTTAAAGTTGTTTGTTGTATAAATATAATTTTAAAAACTTATAGGACTAGGCTAGGACAGAAGATAATGTTATCTCAATGTTCGTGTAGTACTCACGCGAAGAGTTGCCGGTGGTGGTGGAACTGTGGCTGGTGGTAGAAGCAGTGCCGGTGGGCACCCACTGCGCCTTGCACGCGCTGCACGCGGGCGCGCGCTGCGAGCTGCGCTCCGTCACGTCTGGGGCGGGCGCGCTGCGCTTTTTACCCTGTATTGAGAGAACATTACTAACTGATATTCAAGACCCAGAAAAATACTGACTAAGTTCATCAACAACAAACTAGGCATAACAAAACAACGTGTATACAATTTCAACTTGCAAATATTGACACATGATATAGCCTTTATTCCAAAACCATTGAACTTTTTGTGCTTATCAAAATGCACTTGCTAAACGATTACTAACTAACAACGACAAGAACGCAAAGCGGAATGTCACCTCAAAACAACATTGCATACAGGCCGGAGCGGCGTCAAAAGAACACCTATTGCAATACATCGAGATCACAAATTGCTCTACATCACCCTGTTAATAGCCGCTTCGATTGATTTTTTGCGGTTAGATATTTTTGTGCGGAAAAGCTGATGCTTTTTTTCTTTGTTAGATCGGATTCCTTTGTGACTATTTGGAGCGTAAGAAATATTTCATATGTGTCGGGGCAAGGTATAGGAATGTTTCGTTTGATTTTACCTGTGTATCGTAATATATTGATGGTATTCTGTTGTCGAGGGTGGCGTTGCAGGTGCAGTGCGCGTGGGGTCGCGGCGCCGACATGGCGGCGACGTCGGCGTCCAGGAAGGTATGGGCATCCTCGACGGAGTCGGCGCGCGACCAGCTCTCCGGCACCCGCTCCCTGCACCGCTCGCTCGGGAACTCATTGTACGACATTTGTCTCCTTATACTCCTACATCGACTACGGTTATCTAAAGTGGAAAATTTCATACTTTCTACAGCGGGAGAGTGCCTCGTTATGAGATCTTCGTTATTGTCGAAGCTTCTCATTTTTATTATTTTTTGCGTCGACTTTCTACTAGTGTCGGCACTGACGCCGCAATCCTTAAGTCTGTCAAAACATTGGTCCACGTTTCCTGAAAAATTCGCATAAGTACTGGCATTGTTTTTCAGGTCGTCTTTCGACTGGAATCTCGTCGAACTAAAAATACAACTTTGGCTGTTTACTCTTCGTTGCGACTTGTCGACCAGTGACAGCATCGATAGTTTCTTCAGCGAGCTCGACGAACCCGATGTTATCTCGGCGAGTTGGACCGCATTCGAATGTTTTTTCAACATCGCTTCGCCGCCAATCTTTTTCAAGTTGGATAGTTTCCTCTTTATTTTCTGAACGATAGTGTTTGTGGGGTCGTAGGAAATCAACTGTTTCGAAATGTAGTTGGAAACGCCGATAGTTTTGCTTTTGGTATGTTTGCGGTCGAGACTGCGATGCGAGCCTACGCTGAGGTGACTGCGACCGGTGTCACGTTTGATTCTCTCTAGGTCATAAATATTGAGGGTGTGGCCTCTCTGATCGACGGGCTCTCTATGGCAGTTCAGGTAGTTGTTTTGTTGTATGTTGCAATTGCAGACGAGGTCGAGTTCATGCTCGGCGAGATGTTTGTCGAGGCACTGTCTCTGAGCGGCGAGAGCGAGGCAGGCGTCGCAGTCGACGCCGAGGAGGAGCTCGAGGCTGGTGTTGCCTATGAAGCCGTCGCTGAAGGTGCGCGAGCGGAAGTGCGCGTGGGGCAGATGGTGGTCCCAGTCGGTGGGCGCGGCGGAGGCGCCGGCCTCGCCGTCCACCATGGTGGTGGTGGAGGCGTCGCGGTTCACCGTGATGACCCGCGGCTGCCGGAACACCCTGCTGTCGCTCCGCACCGAGCTCCGCGATGGTGAAGGAGAAGGCCGCTTAAAATTGTCCACTTGAATCATGATTGCTCTCTAAACTGATGAGGTGTCTGATAACCTGCAGCCTGTAACAAAGATAAAATTGACTTTGTTAGCTAGCTTAACTTAGCTAGGTTTTATTTTAATACGCAGGAAACTAATTAAACGATTAGTATTAAAAATGCACTAGGTAATTATTAATAAGGAATATTATCACCTAGATAGAATACCATGGGCTCACGTAGAGAGATTACCTATACGCGACGCAAAAAATCATATAACTCACTTCTTAAATATTTATAATAGAAATCTCTCTATCCATCCATCTTTTTCAATTTGTTGTTCAACCAGTTGAATGTTTTTTCATTGTGTTTCATTGGATGGTAGGAAATACAAACAGACAAGTATTTGAATAACAATAACCAATACAATCTGTTAAACTGGTTGAGTGATCAGATAATCGCTGGAATTTCTCTACAAAACAATCAAGTTCGCCGACGGTTGACGCCGAACACGAAACAGTTAACTAGGAAATCAGATTCTGCACACACTGTTGAATACAAATGGCATAATACCTATCCACTGGTACATACGTATGTACTTAATATCTACAGGATGCCGATTCGTATGTGTGCGGTATTTATAAGCGCCTATTAACACGGATTACATTGAAATCATAAAGTTCATTTCAGTTTGGCTTGCAAATTATCAAACCTTGATCATTAATTTAATAATTAGTTGATTCTAACCATTCTGATGATAACTATTCTGTCTTCCTTAAGAACTTTCTTTTACATCCATTACTTTAAATAGAATGTGAGCCAATACTTATAAAATACTTTTTAGCAAAAGCTCCCAATATAAGCCGTAAAAATGTAAAATGTACCTAATCCTTGGACAGTAGGTAGTAACGATATTTTAAACCTGAATGATTTAACGTTCAAAAGTAATTAACATTTTGAAACCTACTTGTGCCTACACGCTATCATGAAAAGGTGTACAATTTTCGAATCGCTTCAAGCTCAGCATCAACTTATCAGTATTTTGCCTTCTTCCGAAATTTTAATCATTACTAATATTTTGTATAAAATACGATTTTCGCTGCGGTCGGGAGGGCTACCTACAGCTTTTGAATTCTAATAAGATTATTCCGAAACATAATCAAATGAATAACATTTGTATGCATACTTCGTAACTTCGTAAAACACTTGTTACTTTGTAAAAAACATTATGAAACAGTTTGGCCCGCACTAACGGCCGGAGCTTACGGAAAACCACAAAAGCGCCCAAACGTAACACATTCGAGCCAATTCATCACTTGTAGCTACAATAACTCCTTATTGAACGTGCTCTTTCGAAACTCCAATAATGCTGTCTAAATAACTGGATCGATGTTGGAATAGATTTGGACAATCATTTTTTTTAAATTGATATTGCATAATTAGGTAGGTATTTGATAATCCTACTAAGAGTCATAGTAAACTATGCTAATAAGTATTTGTTTAAGTATTTATAGGGATTTTGCGTGTGTTATAAATTTCGTTTTCAATAGGTATAAATATAAATAAATCAAACGACTGAAAAGTTTTCAGCATGAATAGGATCCAATTACCTACTTATGATGCCGTCAACATACAAACATTTTCATTTTTAGTTTCAAGGGTAAAATACGATTTACTGAGTTTGTGGTCAAATCTTACCAACTTTCATGATTTTTTTATTGAACACTACACCATTCAGGTCACGTACAATCAAAGTTCAGTACGTTAGGTAGCGATAGATACAATAATATTATGTAAAGCGTCTGTTGCGAACATGTTGGCACGCGTTCCAAAGTTTTCAACTCGAACTGAAAGACTGGTATCACACCAGGGAGATGAGAAGTTTGATACACAATATGTATCATAAGTTTCAGCATTCGCCATCAATGAAGTTGACTTGATATATGGAATTATGAATATACCTACCTAAATTATTCTACATACCTCAATAATGCAAAAATATGTTGAAACAATTTGATGCGTAACGGACCAAAGACGAAGAAAATCTTTTTTTATTTCAAAAGTAAACTTTTACAGTTTCCTATTTACGAAGAAGCTAAGAAAGGACTTGATAATAGCATAATGAGCCCTCGTAGTGGGTGAAATACTGTTTATTGTCTATCCATAATTGGAAGAACATTCTTGAATAAGATTACAGCGGCGCATTTTCCCGCTGACATACCTATGAATATCATTGGCATGTTTTCGTGACGGGCGACTTGTCGCAGGGCGGTGAATGAGAGACCGCCGAGCCGTCGAGACTCGACTGAGACGGGAATAAGCCATTTTTGTTTTATGTTTGTTTTACCGCTGTGGAATCACAATACGCCTTTTGTGTTGAGTGCTCATTTCATCATTCATTATTATCAGATCTTATTTATACGCATGCTAAGCAAGAATAGCACAGACATAATCTAGTGTAGCTGCATTGGCTACACAATGAAGCTAGAATGGGAACATACATTGCGGGATAAGTAAACAGATTATTCATGGTTGTCATCGCAGAGGTTTTGGTCGCTGTTGTATGAGGAATAATGTGAGCCGAGTAGGCCACAAAATGCTAGTTATTTTCGCATCGAAAATATATTTCACTTCTGGCTGAAAATGTGACAGTAGGCTTAAGAATAAAGATATTCAGTTCATAGTGCTTTGTGTTGGAGATGTGTAAATCAACTTATATAAAGTCTTTGCCTTTTTAGTTACTCTGCATTAGTCTATTATTAAAGTTGTATAATGAAATAAGACGTAATCAGTATAATATAAAATATCATACAATATTAATTTCATAGCATCCTATCCCCATAGCATTTGAAGAACTGCAATATATTTATAATACATTATAGGTATATTTAGTAAAATACTTAAATTCATCGTACCTAACATTGATTGATATTGTAGCTTAACTTGATATTTCACCTGTCCCGATGTTCCCCCATTTTAATCTCCGGTTCCGTAACTTTTTGTACGCCTACGCAAGCAAAAAAAGGATTGTCAGTCTGTCGCTCTGTGAAACATTCAGCCAGGTTTTCTCCTTCAGGCTACTTATATACCTAAAATTATATTTTATATAAACAAATATTCATTGCCAAAACATCACAAACTTTAATTGCTTTCTAATTCTCTGAAGCCGCAATGCTGCTGATATAATGATATTTAAACTCGTACTGAAAAGCGCGTTTTGATTTGTAAAAGTTATCGTTAACTTTATTAACAAAATCAGTCTATTGGTAATATAATATGAGAGATATTTTATTATAACTACTTATAAGTAACTGATAAACACCGACTGGATTGGACCGCCCATATGTTACAAATTCTCATACCTTCGTCTTTCAGATAGGCTTACATTGTTTGGGCATCTCTGAACACCGTTCCATTAACAGAATAATGGGAGTATCTACAGGAGAGAAAATAAAATGTGGAGAAAGATTTCGCAGTAGCCACCTAAGCGGTCATTTGTAAGCGGCCGAGAAAAATGCTCACTCGTCTAGAAAAAATAATCGAGAGAACTGCTTCAGTTCAGCAGCGCATTCCTCAACGCTGTAAGCACTTGTAATCTCCGACCTAATTTACGTTTCCGAACTAATTTTACTTATAGCGGCCAGTTAATCGAGTTCTGAGGCCGTGTAGCGTCGAACAGTGAAACTAACTATAGTTTAAGCAGTTTTTACGACATTCATAAATTGCATCCTCTTGGAACAATGACTATAGTTATGTTGCCACTAATTACAAACGGTACACTTAAAACAGTGTTAATGTATTTGAAAACGCGCGGCGCTCGTTTGTTAAATTAAGTTGCATATTTCTTTTGACTGCTTTTAAATGAGTAAACTAGTTCGAAGACCTCTTTTTCCGGGATATTAAGTAACTCTCTTCCCTCTAGGTAGGTATTATGTTAAAATGTGTTTTTAATATATTTCGATTACCTATTTCCAAATCACAAAAAATACTCTACTATGTATCTATCTCTTGTTATTAGACGCCAAATAAAAGGTGTGCCTGGAATGAAAATTGCTTTTTAAGTTTGACTTTGTGCAGCGAAAAGAATAAGGAAAATAACAAAGAAATGTTACTTAGCGCAAACCTGGGTGCTTCCTTCAAAGCGCATAATTAACTAGCTCCTGGACGGCGTCAAATTTTCGCTAAATGCTCGCGGGATCTCACGGGAGACTAATTGGTTACTGAAGACTCTCGGTGCTCTGCACGGTGCTCAAGAAACTCAATTCAATAAACATGAACACCTTAACCGAAGTGGAATTGTTTTATAATCGGATTCAAATTAAGTGTCAAAGATAGAGATAGACGATTTTATTTGACACAGATATCTATTTGTAGTCTAGAATTGTTTTTATCTATAATTATCTTAGTTCAAAATTAGAGGGCAAAATTATAATTGCAAAATGTACTCTTAATATTGTTCGTATTCTCTTGATAACAATCTCACCCGAGGGCGTAGATGTGATCTAGGATGGAGCGAGCTTGCCCAGATTTCCATGCAAATTAACAGTTTATTATCTCGACGTTAATATGAAAATGTATATTTTTCGCTTGTATCCGTAATTATGACACTATTGAAATAAACAGCCTTTTTCTTTAGCAAATGATTCTTTGACCATAATTTTATTTTCATAGTGTTTTTAGGACAAAATGTTACATTTTTAGATAAAAGAGAGAGAGAATTCATTAATGAGGGTTTTCGCGATTGAAAAATCCGCCAGATGGCAATACGTAGACGGGAGGTCCAAATGCTGCATGATTGGTGGATTTTGACATGACATTGACAGATATGTCAAAATCCACCAATCATGCAGCATTTGGACCTTCCGTCTACGTATTGCCATCTGGCGGATTTTTCAATCGCGAACACCCTTCATTGGATTCAAAAATGCCTGACAACATGTCATTGTAAAGGATAATAATAGAGAATGGCATGGCGATTCATTAAGCTGCAACGCACAATTTGTTCTCGTAATCATGTGCCTGTACTTATGCCTAGTAATTACTCGTAAAAGGGAAGTTCCGCG